TATGATTGCTATATATATATATGTGTCGAAAAGGCGTTTGTTCAACCCAAAATATTGTGCGGTTATGCGTCCACGCAATAGTTAGCCAGTTTCGATGACCGCTCATCACTGCAGATTGCGGGAGTAGACCAGTCAGATAACCTCAACAATCTGTCCCATCCTGAGTCAGCGTTTGAGCTTCGCCAGAAAATAAAAATTTGATTCCGGAGCAGAGCCCTTCAAAGTACCTGCCCCAGATTATTCTTGGCCGTTCTCGGGGTCCTCGGATGGTCAATTGAGCAAGCAGTAGGCACTTTGCCTTCCCTTCTGTAAGCGTTCGCAGTACGTGCCCAAGCCATCGTAGTTGTGACATTTCTCTGCAGAAGCAGAGGTTGTACTCCAAGGCTTTCTCAGATATCTGAACTCCGGACGACGTGCAGACGCGTCAGCGCAACGATTCGTCTCAGAAAGCCCATTCTGTCCGCCTGTTTTAGATACCAGAGTTTTTCAGTCATGGTCTACGATTCATGACCATAGAACATGGGGATGCAGACCGATTTGAAAACAGACAGCTTAGACTTCTGACCCACCTTTTCTCTAGTAACAACGATTCCGGCTAGTTCACTTAGAACGCCGCTGACTATTCCAGTTAGGCGGTTGACCTTTTCCTACCATTTTCCAACACCAGTAAACAACATGAACCCGAAGTACGTGAATTTCTCCACCTGCCCCACTGCTTCTCCGCTTAGCCGCAGATCGTAACGGGCAGGAGAACGAGAAGCCACTAGGCTTCTGGTTTTAGACACGTTTAAACGTACTTTCATAATTTCTTTATTAATTCGGTGAAGTCGATGAAGAGTCGTTAAATGACTCGATATTTTTGCTACGTATTTGCTTGTCGTTATTTACTATCTATCCCGGAGAAAGTGTCAGATGAGGCGGTAAATCAGTGAATATTTAATGCAGATGTCTTAAGAAGAGCTCACTGAGGCCACAACCCTTATGAAGAATAAAAGAGCAAATGCCCCTTGATTTTGTTTTTCAGTGCCTCCCCTGCTGTGAAAACGAGGCCTATTGATCCTTTGACCTTGCTGATTTCACATAAGAGGTGTCAGAAAAGTTACCTTAGGGATAACTAGCTTGTGGCAACCATGTGTCGACATCGACGTTACTTGAGACATCATTCGATGTTTGCTCTTTATATCACCGCGAAGAAGAAATTGCCTAGTGTTGGATTGTTCATCACTAATAGAGAACGTGAACGGAATTTAGACCGTCGGGAGAGAGGTTAGTTCTGTCCTACTAATGACAATACCGTTGCAAAAGTAATCACGCTCAGTACGAGAGGAACCGCCGATTCCGATAATTGGTTTGGGAAACTAATCGAAAGGCCAGTGGTGCGAGTCTATCGCTAGTGTGATTATGGTTAAACGCCTCTAAACCAGAATCTGATCCAAACCGAAAACAAAATTAGACTCTCTGTATGCATTAGGGTGCAACTAGAGTTCACTTCGATTAGAGATGCAAATCGGCGAAGCGTTGATAATCCGTGTCGAGTGTTTTAATGTTGGACATTTTGCGGACGTTCGAACGAATGCTACGATGTAATTGACGATCAAACCATTTAAACCACATTACAGTCAGCTGATAATCATTCCTGAAAGCGCTGGAGATGAACTTCGAAGATGTCAACAAAATAACGTCGTTTATAGACATATACCTCCTCGTTTCTACATTTCCTACGCTGTTGCACTCATCGCATTGGTTGTGCCATATACAGCACAACCAGGAGAGGAGACAGAATGCAGACTTGACGAAAACCACTGTAAGCTCTGAAGGCTCTCGACTTGACGCCATTTACTATGACGCGACACTCTTGCTAGGCACATATAATGGGTGGATGACTCGTAGCAACTGACCATCGATCCCATTTGTTCGCAGGCATGACCAATGCTTGCAACGCAGGATCCAGTCATAGAATATCTCCAAGTCCATAGAGCACATGCAAATCGGATGAGTAAACTCGCACGATTTTTCTACAATTTCGCTTAAGGCGAAGATCAGATCAGAGGTGGTTCAGTCTGACCTAATGCGGCTACTCTTGCAGTATCTTTGCATAGATTTATCCCGGGAGACTCAACAAGGCAATGCCGCGATAACTGGAGCACTCCCTATGGTCGCCCTTCTTGAACAGAGGTACCATCAGCACAGCTCTACATCCCACCGGTGACATTGTAATTTCACATACACGTGTTTGCCACAGCATGCTTTGTTCATCTAATCGTTTAAGCGGAGTGGAGTTTACTACACGGTAGAGTTCATCGATTTTAGCAGAATTTTCATTTTTACTGCATTTTACATCTTCTGTGACTTCGTCTACGGAAGGACTAATATTCGCATCCTTCTTCTTTTCAGATGAGTCTTTCTGCGGTTGCTCGTGTGTTAGGAAGTTCCTCACGGTAATCTCGTTATCGCTGAAATATATCTTCTTCATTGGCAAGGCGTCAGGACTTGTCCTTCAAAATTCATACCGCTGTTCTCTCCGCCTTAGAGAATGCGGATAATCTGCTAGAGTACCTTGCTTGCCGTCTAGAAATTTGATCCATGCATTACTGGTACTAAAATCGATAGAGCTGTTAAAGTGTCCCCTAGACGAATAAGAAAAAGAATAGACGTGATCACACCACATAAAATCGAAGAACTGGCAGAAGAGTGATCTAAATAATCCAGTTCCTGCCAACAAACAGTCACGAAATGAATCCAGAAGAAAAAGTAACGACACAGTGGCAGGGAAAACAGCCAAGAAATCGGTGAAAACCGACTTCTGTTAGAAAGACAAAATCAGATATGAAATGCCACAAGCCTTCAATCGCGATGGTATTCAGTGGTGACTCAAATCTGTCAGGTAGCGCTAAGTTCTGGAAAAGACCCAAAAGCAAAGGAAACCAAGAACTCGCTGTCATCATGATAAAAGCAAGAGGGATAAGAAAGACTGCGGCAACTGCCGAAGCACGTCTGTGGGAGGCATAGGTAGGAAAGCTATGAAAAACGTTTGGAAAAGAGATACAGAGAATGGTAGATCAGAATATTCAGAACAAGCAATCTGCCTTCCATTCAATCACAGCACCGTGAATCAAATCTTTAATATTTGCGAGTTACGTGAAAAATGCTGAGAAAATGTAAAGGAGGTGTATCGCCGCTTCATAGAATTGGAAAAGTTTCATGACAGTGCTTCGACCGCGGATGTGAGAGTGCTGCAGGAAAATGGTGCAGATGACCAGATACTGGAGGTCAACAACTTCCTCATAAGACTCTCTAGAGGTTTGTACCCGGATGAATAGCAGGGCGACGTTGCTGTCAAAGGAGCATCTTGATTTTCGCCAAGGATTCGATAGCTCATGTGTTCACAGTTTTATGGATTAGATCAGCAAATACAGTCTAAGCAAGAAGTCACAGTTTCAGAGGTTTAATTCAGGTTGCTCTTTGCTCTTTGAAGATGATCTAATCATCTACACTTCGTCTCACAGTGATCTCAAACGCAAATTTGATCTTTTGCTGCTGCATACAACGCGACTGCATGAAAACCTTTAACTGTAGGTTTTGTTCTCACGAGGAAGGCAATTCAATGTCCTGCAGATAAGTGGGATGAAACAGGCGGAGGCAAAGAAATTTAAATATCTGAGTAGTTCGCGAATGATGGCAGGCGGGACATAGTAAACAGAGAACATAAATCGCCCAGCTATAGTCAGACACCAAACTGACCACTGTACCTTTTGCGTTGTGCACAAGTAAACCTAATTTTATGCCATTTTTCAATGTCTAATATTATAAACAAGTCAAGATTTAAAATACTGAAAGATCCATCATGATTAAACACATGAGAACGTATTGTTGACCCCTCCTGATTATGCATCATTACAATGTGTACCAGTGAGTACAATGACGCCCAACATTCACGTGTGACACAAAAAAATTAAAAACTGCCTCAAAAAATCGAATAAATTACCAGTAAAAGAATTTTCTTGGCCTTCAGCGTTTTCAGCTCCTCCACTATCTAGAAACAAAACAGCAACTGAACGTCTTCTCTTTCCCTCTCTCTCTCTCAACGTACATCAGTGTCATGAAACACAGCGTCGACTTCGTACTTCTCCTTGAAATGCTGCCGGTCAAATATTCTAAAACGCAGAACCTAAATAAACGAAGGGGCAGATACCGTCAAATAACATACTTTCCGTACCATACAGCACAGCTTTCGGGTAGCTGTGGCATGAATAAGTAGCTTTTGCCAGATGCGAGATCGATCGCACCATAGAAACCTGGTTCAACAACACCAAAGCACCAGAAGAAGTACGACTCCTACAAAGGAGCTTTAGAAAGCACAAATCGATCTTCTGGTTGCAACAATATACATAAAATTTAACTGTCTGCTTTGAAATCTTGGTTACACCTTATGCTGATCAAGCCAGCTATCAAATAGCTAATTGCAGCAGTCACACAATGCGAACACAACTGAACGACCGAAAGTCCTGTAGGCCCTGAAGTGACCAAACTGGATTACCACACAGATACAGATGTTCGTGCCGCAGACTTGTTACGTGTTACTCGATATTTTGCATGGAAGCGCAATGCAGTCAACTCCGGCCCGATGGAATCAGGATTCAATAGGTCATTACATATATCGTCGAAAAACCGTGCATCGAACTCGTACAACTGCTACTGCGCACTTCTTCCAGGTGATGCCAACAACTGACCAGCACGAATGAATTAAGGTACTCTACGGAAAGTTAGTACACTGCATGAAGTAATAATAGATTGCTATTATTGCACCATTCAATATTTAAGAAATATGGTTCGAAGCTGCAGTGTTTTAACTGACACAATTCATTCAAGACCAGATTCGCGGTATACTGCAAAGCCTCCTACCTCCTAGCTACCTGGAGGCGACATTTAAGCAGGTTACTGCTCAATGACGTTTGAGCACTCGCAATGCCAATGCATCCTATATTTTCCGATTCGATAAAACAATCTCATGCTCACCACGAATGATGTTTTAGGAGTTAGTACTCCTTCTATGCAACCACAAGCTACTGCTTCCATCCTGATATTCTCTTCGTCACATCAGACGATTCCCAATGTACATTTGTCATCTATGTGTACAACAGATGGAACGAACACTACGAGTCGCTTTTGAGTTGACCCACTGGCAGACATAAGCAGCGAACTACAAGAAGCAGTGTTGTAAATCCGGTGATCACTGACAACCAGTGACATTTCAAGAAGTCAACCTGGCCATCAGCAAGCTCC